CGGTTCAGCGGTGAGCGGTGCTGTGCTGGACGATAATACTGTGAATGTGCGGATAATGAGTTAAATAATCAGTAGAGCCGCTGCTGTGCATGCATGTGTGTGAACCTTCTGGTGTGAATGACCTTTATATGAACTTAATGCATTTATCTGTCTACTTATCCTAGTTATTATGATCAATAACTAGATCATTTATTTATTAGTCTGCATTTTCATTCTGTCCTTTATCTGTTTTTCGTGTCTTTCCGAAGCACTTTTAGTTACTGCTTGTTTTAGACGTGCAGGTTCCATTATCATGGTTTATTATTAATATTACATTTATATTAAAGCATTGTCATATTTGTTTTTGTTATGTTACAGCATTATAAATATGTATTGTCGTTTTATTATTATATTAATATTAAAGCAATATTTATTATTATTTTCATGATTGTTTTTAGTTATTACAACATCATACATATTACAACAGTATAATTATGTTTGTTAATTATTTTATGTTTGTTAGTTATTATTATTACTACATGTATACTACAACATTTTTATAATTATTACATTTTATCAATGTTTATTATTTTATTATAAAATTTATATTGCTACATTATTATTAGTGTTATTATTATTTTATTGTTGTTTATTATTATTAACAATATAATTATTTTTGTTCATTTTATTTATTTTATAGTAAAGCAACATTATATTATTCACATTTTATTTTTATTATTATATTTATACAAAAATACAATAATACATATTTTATATTACAACATTTTATTATAATGTTATTTTATAATTATTTGTTAAACATTATCATAATTATCAAATTGTGTGATTATCACATTCATATTGTAACATTTTTATATTATATTTTTGTTGTTGTTATTATACTAATAATAAATCCTCTTGTTGACTCTTGTAGCTGTTCTTAGTCACCGGTCTCCCCCTCAGGGTCCGATGCCAAATGAAGACATTGATTGGACTCGACTGGACTCTCTGGAGAAATACCGCAGTTACACTCGCTACGTGAGAGCGGCAGAGGAGACCGACCGGAAAGATGTTTGGTGGAAGACCTATAGGAAATACCGAGAGGAGAAGAAAGAAGGTAAGTCATGGCTGATGGACCAGCTATGAACACACACTCATCCATAACAAGAGCTACAGTATCAGTGTGGGTCAGAGAGTGTTGATTGATTGATTTTGTGGGCAGCCGTTGAACCGGTCAACATTGGGCTCCCGCATCAGCGTCCCTCCAGGGAGACAGAGGTGAAGGAGAGGAAGAAGGTGATGCTGGAGAACAAAAAGAACCCAGAGATGGAAAGAGACGATCGACTACGAACATGTGAGTGCGTCAGTGAACCATCATGATCTCTGAGGAGGAAGCAGAGCAGGTTAATCAAAAGCAGAACGATGAATTATGATCAAAGATCTTCACACAGTTACTGTAGGGCAGTGGTCGCCAACCCGTCGATCTTTATCACTGTCCCAGTAGA